TTAGGTAGTTGTGGATACCCTAAAGTAAAAGTTGTTGTTCAGGCCCACTTCCCCTCTCTTTTGGAGCTATCTTGAGAAATCCAAAAAATTGTTCTGTAATTAAAATTGATTGACCAGGTAAATACCATAGTTCCTTGTTTAATTTACATGGCATAAACCTGTGCCAGAATTTGTAGGCTTGTCCTATTGAATCTGATTTTTTTTTATTTAAAAATTTGCTGTGAGACGAGAGAAAATACAAGGCTTGGTGATCGTGGTGAGAGTTGTAAGGAATTTTCATTTTTCTGCATAATAAAAAGAAATTGTGTATATCACAGTTGTTGTATGTCTACATTTCTAAGTACCCATTATTATTATAGAAAATTTAAATTTTGATTGGATTTCTTTCCATGAACAAGTAAGGTGGACTTGGTGTCAAAGTGAATAGGAATTTTGGAACAGGTAGGAAGTTGATGCATCCCATTAAAAGCCTTATCTTTTGTCAGTGAGATTGCAGTATCCGCTAACCTTATTTTTGTTTTTTCAGCTGGGTTTTCAGCTGGTTTGTTAAAATTGTGCAAGGTTCAGTCCAACAAATATTCATTATACAGACTTGCAGGTACATAAATTAAACCATATCTATCAGTCCACTGGATTAGATATATAAGTAAATATATAAGATTTATACAAGTATCAGATAGATGCATTTATTTCTGTATATGCATGTTCGTATACATGAATATTAATTGGGTTGTGCCTGGCTCAATCTTAACAAGTTGACTTCTCATCTCTAAAAGGACATTTCATAGGAAACTTTCCCAGCTTTAGGTTTATTGCATGTAATTTTCTTATTATTAAAAGTATTAACCTACTTCCAAAAGGAACATGTAATGTCCACAAGTTTTGTTGAATGTATGTTCACATAGATTAGTCCAAAAGTTTGTGAAGCTTTCCCCTTAATTTGAGTTTTCAGGACTGATTTTCTTATCTTTTTTCAAGTTATTATTCACATGATTAATAACAAAATATAAAAAATAAAAATCAAGGAAAAGGGTAAACAGGTGATACAGGTAGGACTAGTAACAGACTCCTCGGTGACAAAGCACTTGTAGAGCCATCCATGTGTATCTAGTTTTACATTGAGCATAGCAAGTATGTGCATTCCATCCCTGCATTTTGTTGAAAGGCATGATGTAATTTTTTTTTTTTTTTTTTTTTTTTTTTTTTTTTTTGAGAAAATGCATTGGAAAATGCAGTATGCCTTTACATTGAAATATAAACCAAGGGAAATAGCGTATATACGATTGTATTTCTTGTTTTGACAATAAAACAATAAAGGTATTGAAAGAAAAGACAAAATATGGTGACTTAATTTATTCACATTTCAATCTAGATCAAATGGTTGTAGCAGCAAGTTATGGAAATAAATATTTATTCAATTAAAGTTTCAGCCAATGGGTTCCCTAAAATAGAGCTGCCTATAATCTGCGCCACATGGGAAATTACTATAGATATAACAAGCACAGAACTTTTGGAAATATAATAAATGTATTATTAGTTTGTACAAAGTCCCCTTGACCATACTACAGTAAAGAGTTCCAGATTAATCTCCAACATAAACAAAGTTAATGCATAATTAATATATGCTGTAACTCCTAAACTGAATATATAATACACTGTTAGTGTCACTAACTTGGGAAAAGCTCAATATTTGGTACAACTATATGCCCTTAGCAACAAACAGGAAGATATGGCCTGAAATTCTGCACTATGTAATGTTTTGGTAAAACAAAAGTTAAAAAAAAGTGATAGTAATTGTCATTTGCTTATCATAAACCCAAGTGCAATCAGGCAATTTAACAAGAAAAATGATCCATGAAAAATGCTTGCAGTTCAGGATGACTAGGACAGAAGAAAGTTTATTGCGGACTCCAGAAGCATAGAATGACTAAAGGAGCATTAAACCATAAAAACGTCTCCAACTGGACACCAGTTTCAAACAGATGTAACTTTCAAGCTTCCAAAATTCCTTTATTCTTTTTTTTTTTGTTGTTGTTGTTGTTGTAGCCATGAATTTAGCTTCATTCTGGCCTTGTGAAAATGTTGCTAGTCAATGTTTAGTTACTGAAAATTTAGATGATTATACATGAGGTTGGTGGTAACTTTAGTATTTTAAATATATACATGTGTCTGTGTGGGGGGGAAAGTAAACTATTTACCATCTTGCATCATGACATTGAACAAACCTCTCTAATTGGAAAACTTCTCTGGCCGCAATAATACACCCGTTTTAGCCTCAAAAAATAGATAGGGAGCTAGGAGTATCACAGTACCTTTCTGTTCATATACTCCCTAGTCGTATATTTTGCAAATGCAGATAAATAATGCCTATCTACATGAGGTTCTCAAGATGCAGGGAAAAAAACATCTGCACAATTATAAAATCCCACTGCCCCCCACACCAAGAAACTAATAATGGAGCACACTAACATTTGTGCAGCCCCCCTAAACTACCCTCCAAAAAGTCTTAATAAAAACAAAGAAAAATATATTACTTTGGTCTGTTCCTTCATACAAACTGGATGTTAAATCATTACACAAAACAAGCAGAACCCATTTGGCAAATAACCATACACAATGCTTTCCTTCCTTAGCTGTAAAATCTACACTACCACTTTATGGGTGGGTCAGCTGTGCCGGAACAGATGTATTGAATGTGAAATGCTGCAAACAGAAGTGAGAGTGCAGATAACACACATGAGAAAAAAAAAAAAAAAAAAGCCTTACATCTTTACTGTTTAAAATGATAAACACTATACACTATAACACTTAAACTAAATGACAGTTAAAACACATGCAGGTGACAAATCTCTGCCATCAGATAGAGACGAACACCGCTCACAGGTACGAGTGCAGTGGCTTTGCGCACATCCAAGACAGAGAAATGAGATGAAAGTTACCAGCACAGCATGACCCTTTTTTTTCTATTTTAAATCAAAACTGGTGCACATTGTAAGATCCTATTAACACAAGCTACAGATGTCTACACAAGGTAGTTCATATACACAAAGGGGTGGAAATTAAAGCCATTTTTAACAGTTAGCTTGAGAAAAAAATAGATAAGGCTTAAAACTTTTCACATAAAATTATTATAAGACTTTAACAAATAAACATAATGAAAGGAAATAATGGTCAGCTTCCTCGAAAGCCAGGCAAAGTAAATACATGTTTGTTCACTCATTACTGCTGTAACCGAAATGAGCATTCTTTGCGTAAAGGAAAGTTTCTCAAAAAATCTCAATATCTATAATAGCTCTTCCTATAAAGCTGTAACTATATACAAAGCTAATGAGATTATAGGTGCTTAATAGTTTGTTCATTACATTGATACATGATTAAAATACCCCCACATAGCATCTATCACCTTTTAAAAGAAGTTTGTAAATTCCCCAAGAATAAAAACAATACTTCCTTAATATCATAGCACATGTACAGTTGATATACCTAACTATTACTTGCCAGCACAAGTTTGGCATTATATGCCCCAACCCACTAGCTAGGTCCTTACCAAACTCTTTGATAGTGCTAACAAAACTTTGGTTTGATAATAACTGGGTTTTCCTATAATAGCATAAACTACGGACAGAGAGAGGCACTGGATATTAACTTCATAAGATCTTAGACCTTAGTTTGAAATCCAACACAGCATATGTCCCAAATGGTAACATGAAGCTCAATTATTTGAACCAACCCCCCTTTTTTTTGCCCAGTACAAACAGTAATATATTTTTTATATTTAAGGTCCAAGGTATCTGATATCAACCTATACTGCACCTCCCTCTCAATACACTAACCTTGCTATTAAAACTGGCTGCCCACACACCACTCTACATGACAGACCAAACTCACATGTTAATCCAACCAAGATCATTTGCATCTTATGGTTAACATTCACACTCATAGTTTAGCTTCCCTGGGGACACAGGAGTTTCTTTAGGAGAGTATCATTAAGTTATAGTTTATGTCAAAGGGAAAAGTTATAAAAAATACAATAATGTTCCTTGTATAGCAAATCCCAAAGATTAATAACATAGTTATTAAGGAACAAAAACAGAATGAACATTGAAGGAACGAAGCTTGCAACAGTAAAACTGTTTCACAATCTCAAACTACAAAATTGGAATTAATAAACAAAACATCTATACTAGTTCAGAGGCAAGTATTATATGTAGATATGTGTATATATATATATAAATGGCTGGTTACAAACATTTTAAGAAAAATAGCCCCGTACACCCATGCCAAACGATAAAAAGCAACAACACTGCTCCTTAGAATTTCCTCCGCATGTAACCCAGAGGCAAGAGCACCCCTACAAGTTGAGTGACCGTGGCTTGAGAGTGGAGTTCTGGGTGACAAATTGCCGTGCCTGTTCGGTCAGGCGGCGCTGGTTTTCGGTTTTGCCACACGCCACCATCTCCCACCTCACGTCCAACTGCAAAGATTGAAAAAAGGTTGAGTTTCCTTTCCACTATTTCTTCTTTAAGAGGGATAGAGGAAAGATTTCACATTCTGAACTGCTTTACAGTGCAGCCCTAAAGAAGACTAAAACAGGGAGAGAAGAAGATTACCTATCTCTCTCAATTAATGAAAAGTTTGGTACATATTATCAGGAACCCAAGGACTACAGAATGATTATTTCACCAGAATAAAAGGATAAACACACAACACAAAACACAGAGAAAGCAAACTTTCAAGGAAGGAATGGTATCAGAACAAGACCAGGAACAAACATTCAATAAACCAAAAAGTTATAAGAAAATTGGCAAACCTCCTGATCAACAAAACTAGAATCTTAATTTGTGAGTGTATTCTTTAAAACAATATATGAAAAGATATATTTCAATGAAAGGACAGTAGTTTGGAAGAACTGGTTTCCACTCCCAATTAGTCCAATATTTTCAAAACAAAATTAAGGGGGGGGGGGTTAATGGCTATATTAAGTGGAAATCCAACCCAATTAGTAAAATAATCTTGAAAACCCTTTAACCAAATTTGACCAGTTGATACGTATAAATATCCAATTCATTTCTATTTCTTACCTCAATAACATGTGTGTATTAATCAGACTACACAAATGGTATAAAATGGTTAATTGTTTAATCTAACTAAGCAAATTTCAAATTCCTATCAACATAATAGGTTAGTTAGCTACCTTCATGTCATGCATTTGATGAAGAGAAGCAAAATCATGCACACGTTATAACAAAAGCTCTAGTTATCTTTTTACCCATCAAAAACACTCAAAATTCTCTGTTAATCCCTGGTACCCCCCCAACCCCTTCTAACACCAAACAAACAGCAGCCTGGGGTTATATGGCCTGCATGTGCGTTTACCTTCGAGAGGTTGGCCTTGGTGGTCTGGCCTTCGCCGAAGGATATCCTCTTTACGCACCCAAATTCACCTTCTCTCGCCTGGTTGGGAGGAGAGGTCTTGTCAGATGGTAAAGTTTACTGCAGTATCAAGAGCTTGGTGGTTCTTATTCCAAGCTCAAAACTGTAGTCTTTATCTTTGTTTTTTTTTTCTTTATTTTCATTTTATGGGGTAACCTTTTTTTTTAAATTATAGTTTATTGTCTTTTACCCAACATATAGCTTTGTTACATGACATGTTATACTGTACAATTGTCTATTCAAGAAAACTTACCTCAATATCTGTAATAATATCACTTTGGAGATGTTTTTTTCTTTCTTAATATGTCCAGCATTTCATTTAGAACAGTATGTTTCACATTTTTAAAAACAACAGAAGAGAGAATGATTCTGCTCACTACAAATGTCAAAAGGTCAGAGTTAAGTTCTGTCTATGGACTCTTGACCATTACTTACATTAGAATACTGAAATGCTCTCTACCTTCTACCTCTACATAATACCTGCTAACTATCTACAACACGGAGAAATTCCAAGATCATATTTACCTTCTTTGGGGATTTGTTGCCAAGAAGAGAAGTTGAAGCGAGAGGATGGTTCTCATCAGGCAGTGTGTCGCGGATGATTGAGGGAGGTGAAAACAGCACTGACGAATCACCTATCAGGCTTTTACTCTGCAAGAAAGAATAATTAAATAAATATATAACAAATAAATAAAAGAAATACATTAATACATATTTCTATGAAAGGAGGAGGAAGAATTCGAGAAATAATAGTACAACCATTAGATTTCTTAACTTCAGAGTAAGGTACATATATATGGTACAGTTTACTTACAGGTGTCTCTGGCATGAGAGTAAGTGGTTCTGCACAAAAGCCAGGAACCTGGATCTCCCCAGGTGTTGACCAGGAATATGGGAGAGCCTTCCTAGCCTTTTTGCTTGGGGAATTTTCCTTGCCACTTGGAGGAGGGGCTTTGCGCTTAACTGTGCCATATCCACTGTCATTGATAACAGACTGAAAAAAAGGAGATAAGTTCGTTAATACTTTCACTATGTTCTTGCAATTATTTAAAGAAATATTTGAAATCACTATTCAAATTACACTGTCTATATTCACTAGAGCTCACCTGATTACGTGCACTCTGACTATTCACTGAAGGAGTCTCGAATTTACTTCGGTCTCTCTCAGTGTCTTTGCGAATAATTTCAGTTATATCTTCCAGGTGTGTTGGTGTCTGAGGCTGTTGATAAGAAAGAGGCAGAAATATAAGATCAGTTGAGCAGACATTCCATATAGGACAAAAGAAATTAAAGAGAATCATATGGAATAAAAATCATAGTACATTACAATATCCACAATGGTCATCTCTATCTTTTGAAAACAGAGAATGTCTTACCAGATGCTTCAGAGGCCCACTCTTCTTCTCTATCTCCCGCAAAGCATTCTTAAGCGGGGTTGGAGTTTGGGGTGTAGGCTGAATGAGGACCCTTCGAGACTTTGGCGTCCGGGGTTGGCCACCCGACTCACTGGGTGTAGAGGTGTGGTGGGGATGAGACGAGGGAGGAGGCGGCTGGACAGGGGTAGATTGTGAGACAGGAATGCCTCCCAGGACTGGGGTGGAGGTGAGGTTGCCATCATCAAAGGAGATGTTAGGACTGTTGAGGAACTGCGAGGGACTGAAGGGGATGCTCTTGACAGGTGTCACCTTCTGGGGAGTGGTGAGCAGAGACTCATTTTGCTCCTGGAAAAGAATATTTGGAAGTGTCAGAATATGTGCGAGTATTCCTCAGGAAAATCATTAAATTCAAAATAATAATAATAAAAAGAAGAATAACAACATCATCATCAATAAACAATGGCAATAACAATATAATTCATAATACCAACTATGACCATAATAGTAACAAAGCTACCAACAGCAAATGTTAATGGCATATCATACCATCAGAGACAGAAGGGACCTCTTGGTAGGTGAAGGCTGCTTCCTCCTGCCCCGTCTCAGAATGGGAGGAGTAGAAAGGCGTGATGAGTTCAGGGAGGAGAAAGAGCCATTGTGTGCACTGTTGGTGCTCATGTTATGGGTTGTTGTGGAGCTGGTAGTGACTGCTGACGCGGTAGAGAGAGGAGGAACCGAGGAAATGATGGAAGATATTGGGCACGAGTTCACAGTAGACGTAGAGGTTGAGGATGAAGATGGAGCAGATGATGAGGAGCAGGAAGAGGATGTAGCAACACTACAAGCTGACACTGCCTTTGGGGTGGAGAGCTCCTGGATAACTTCTTGCTTTATCTGAAACAGGAGATAAGAAATTGAAGATTCATCACATTTTTATTATCCATATCATTCCACAAAAAATAATAAAACTATATATCATAACGGCACACATTATTACCTTAACAGGACTGCATGTAAGCAATTCAAAGGCACCCATGTCCAGCTCAGCCCTGAAGACTTCCATACCACGGTCTGGCTTCAGGGGAGAAAGGGATCCTAACTCCTCAAAGTACCTGTTTAAATAGAAAAAGGTTTAGTAAAGAAAAAAAAAAACGAAAAAAGATATATATTACAGAGAATGTTATGGTAATAATTACACTTAGCCATTCATTAGCTGATGTGCAACATATATAATTAGTCAACCACACAGACAAACATAACAAATACATGAGTGCACAGAATTAACATCAATAGTACTCAAAATCCAGTGTATTGCTCAAGTCAAACTACTTACTTCAGAGGAGAAATGATGCCAAGGTCATGGTAGATGCTAGTCTTGTCCGGCGACAGCAAGAAGCCCTGATTTAATGGCGGGCTCACTGAATCTGATGACGATGACGACACAGAGGGTGGCTGGGGAAGCTGTGGCGGGTACTGGTTGCACTGACTCAGGGGTGGAGTAGGCATGCCCGGTGGTGGCGTGGGGGTGGAGGTGGTCACCTGCTGAATACAAAACAGGACAAATCATTAACGCTGCTCTACTGTTCTAGCAAGTCATGAATGCATTACATAGTATTTTCACTACCATGCAATCCTCCAATGTCTATTTTTTTTTTTTTTTCTTTTTTACTTTGATTCCACTTACAAGAACTTAATTCTAAAAGTTATGCATGCAGACATATATATATAAACTCAGAATCATTACTTGGACCTTCCAGTTAAAGGCAACCCAACCATCAAAGGGCTGCTCGTATTCCTCCTTACCTCACTAGACAGGGGCGACCCCTCACAATCGAGAATAGTTCCTGGGGTCGGTGGCAGCTGGTGGTGCAAGGGCCCAATCTCCTCACTCAAAACAGCCGTACTCACTATACCCACATTAGTACCCCGTGGTGAAGGCTGTTGCAGGTGGCATGGGTCACTCACCTGAGTAGAGACAGGCACACCAATGCTATCCAGAATAGTGCCAGGGGCATGGCTTGGCTGTGACTGGTGGACAGACGATTGCTGCTGAGGAGGGATGTTGTAGTTTGTGCTGTAGGGGCTATTCTGCTCCCAGTAGCTCTGATTGGAGAGAATAAAATAATTCATTAGTATATGTGATTAAACAGAAGTATTGACCAATCTATCTAATTTCATTCCTTCCAAATACAAATCTTTACAGCATAAAAGTGACACCCACCTGTGGATATGCCTCCTGGCCATACGGGGATGTGTTGTTGATGGGAACTGGCGTGTGCATGGCGGGGGGCATGTCAAAGTGGTTATGGGGGTGGAATTCTTGGTGTGGGTGGGGTGGTGTTGGGGTATAGCCACCATTGGGAGTGTAGATGTGGGACTGGGGAGGAGGAGGAGGTGGTGTCTGCTGTGTCAAATGTGGTGGGGCATGACTCATGGGGGGTCCCATCATATCTGTGGAACAAAGAGCACAAGAGCATTAGTTTTTATACATGATATATATATGTATATGATAATTTTCAACTATCATAATGAACCAATACAACAATGGGATTAATGACAAATAAAAATTGAGTCTAAATACATATTTAATCCCATAAAATAACACTTTAGCATAGAGATCAGCTCACCTGGTCTGTGGTGATATTCGTGTGTGTAATGCTGCGGATGAGGAACAGGGGAGGCCATCACAGGAGGAGTCTGGGCAGAGGAGGGCCGGCCTCCGCGCTGCTTCTTTCGACCGGCGGCTGTCATCTCCGCTTCATACTTCCGTCGCATAGTGGAGTTCCAGTGGTTCTTGATTGCGTTGTCAGTCCTAGAGTGGAATTCAAGGGGTTAGTCTTTGTTCAAGCAGCTACTGAACACGGCACAATATGGAACACAAAAAGGCAAAACGAAACCTGACAGAGAAAACAGTTCTGCATTCCGGGACAACAAGCCCTTCCCGGCATCCGTCCTCACCTTCCTGGCAACAGCTTTGCAATCTTGGCCCACTGATTGCCCCACTGCTTGTGTGCCTCGTAGATGATGTTGTCCTCCTCGTCCGTCCAGGCACTCTTCTTGATGGCCGGGTTCAGGTGGTTATGCCATCGCTCCCGGCACTGCTTCCCGATGCGGCCCTTCAGGTGCTTCGCGATCAGGGTCCATCTCTTGGGACCGTACTTCTTCACCAGCTCGATGACCTTCTCATCCTCCTGCAGGGCAAAGAAGTGTCAGTAATTAGTAAAACGTCAATGAGAACAACATGTATATTAGGCAACTACAGATTAAAAGTCTTAATGAAATCGCCTTTAATGTCCAACTGCTTTCCTACTAGTATATACGGAGGGGCAATGGCCATAGCAGCTATTGACAGGAACAGAGGATTCTTAAAACGGGTTGCTCAAAATGAAACAATTACGAAATTCCAACTCAAAATCCCCGCTTGGAAAGCTCGCCTCCTCAACCAAGGCAATGAATCATTCAAAACCCGAAGCTCCGAGTGCCACCCTCCGCGTGGCCCCCCGATAGCAGTTGGGGAAGCCAGGGCGTGCGCAGGGAGTGTCTCGCAATCTGCATAATTAAACAATCCATAAAGGTCCCACGATTAGAGACATCATAAGGGTTTTGGGAGCCTCATGAATAATCGACAGGCTCCGCGGCGCCTCGCCCGCCGCCGCCGCCAACGGCTCTCGTCCCCTTCGCGCGAACCCCGACGGGAGGGGCGGAGAGGCACGTCCAAGGGAGGAGCGCTCCTTGCGGCGGCCTTTGTCCGGGCCGCGCTGGAGGAACCAGACAACGGCGAGGAGGAGTTCTGGCGCGCTTTCGGAGGGCCGTGTGGGCTGCGCCAGACCGTAGAATCGTTGGCCGCCCCTACCTACGTGCTTCCCACGCGGCCGAAGGCACCTGGCACGCCCTCTGCCTTCTACCCCTTCCTCCCTGCCCACGCCATTGATTACCTGCCCACGCGCCCCTTCGATTAGCCTCGAGGAACAAACGAAATCGCCGCCGACACGCGGACCTCTAACGTCTCCGAGGGAGAAGCAGTCTCCTCTCGGCGACGCGTCCAGGAGCCCCCGCGAAACCCATTCCCGCCAGAGGCAGACCTTTTGAGCGTCAGCCCACACTCCGTCTCTGCTGACTGATCGACTTGCGAATAAAAATGAAACTGAAAGCTAACTGTAAAAGCCAAGTTTCCCGGCATTGCATCATGGAAGCTTCCCCTCGCTTCCTGTCGCCACGCGGGCCGCGCCGCGTTTCTCCTTGAACCCCACCGCCACGCTCCCTCCCCTCCCCCTCCCTGTCAACACCATCGCTGTCACGGCCCGCCTGATGGCTCACAGCACGCCTACGGCCAGGGGATTCGTTCGGCCCAAGGTCGCCCAACACCCGTGCTTCCATTATCCTGCGGTGGCCTTGCGGCGGCGCGGCTCCCAAGGCGATCGAGGCTATCGGGCCCCCATCGTGTAGGCCAGGAAAATCCGCCTACAGAGGACTGGCCCCGACGCCCACGCCCCGTCGCAGGCACTCGAACCAGGGAAAGAGGAAGCAAGTCTCCCAAATCGGAAGGTTTTAAATCGTAACGAGCAGCAAACCCCATGATACACTGCCCGCGCCATGACGTGGTCCCCCGGGGGAAGCCCATCAACGCGAGCCTCCCGCGGGGCTGGAAACTACCAACAGGCAGACCCTCCTCCCCTCCCTCCCCTCCCGCCTCTGCTTGGCCAGTAAGCCGGGCTAATGACAGGTAAACCAGGCATGATATACACGCTCCGCACACCTGGGCTCTGTCTGGTCACCCGCGCGCTGATTCAAAGGACATGCACACACGCACGCCCATACGCCCACGATACTTGCACTCATACGCACACAAACACAGACAAGAGAGAGAGATTAAGAGGGATGGAGAGAGGGAGAGTGAGAGAGGAGAGAGAGAGAGGAGAGAGAGAGAGAGAGAGAGAGAGAGAGAGAGACGAGAGAGAGAGAGAGAGAGAGAGAGCGCCGAAATTCCCTCTATCTCGAAAGAATTCCAGACATCTTATTCAACCTCCAACACAGGAACAAGTTAAACCCTCGACGCCAAGGTTACCTCATCCACCCGCGGGCCAGTCGCCCAACTTTTAAGGCAATACACCCACACACCCCCCCACACACCCCAACCACCCACCCATTCCCTCCCTCATTCCCTTCCTTCCTTCCTTCCTCACAAAACCCATTCTCTCATTCCCTCCTTTAGTTCCCTATCTCTCCCTTCTTTCCTTACTTTTCCTACTCTCTCCCTCATTCCCTTACCCCTCCCTCCTTCCCTCATTCACCTATTTTTTCCCCTCCCTCCTCCCTCCCTCCCTCCCCCTCATTCACTTACCCACTCCCTCCCTCCTCCTTCCTCCTCTCATTCACCACCACCCACCCCCACCCCCCCCAACCCACCCTCTGCTGCCAGATCACACCCAAAAGAGATTTCCTATTGAAACTCCAGCCCTGCTTTTCCATGACGTCATCTAACGCCTTCTTCGCCCACTGCAACCCCGTCTAGAGAAGAAAAAGAAGAAGCAAGAAAAGAAGAAAAGAAAAAATAATAATTAGAAGAAAGAAGAAGAAGGAGAAGAAGGAAGAAGAAGAAGAAGAAGAAGAAGAGAAGGAAGAAGAAGAAGAAGAAGAAGAAAAGAAGAAGAAGAAGAAGAGAAGAAGAGAAAAGAGAAGAAGAAGAAGAAGAAGAAGAAGAAGAAGAAGAAGAAGAAGAAGAAGAAGAAGAAGAAGAAGAAGAAAGAGAAGAAGAAAGAAGAAGAAGAAGAAAAAAGAAGAAAAAAAGAAAAGAAAAAGAAGATTAAGAAGAAGATGATAGAAGATAGAAAGGATTACGTCACCGGTTATTATCCACCCTCCCCCTCTCCCCCTCTCCCCTCTCCCCTCCCCCCACCCCCCTCCTTCCCTCGATACCCCCACCCAGCACGGCCTCCGAAATTTCAAGGAAGAGGAGGAGAGGAGGAGGAGAGGAGGAGGAGGAGGAGGAGGAGGAGGAGGAGGAGGAGGAGAGGAGAGGAGGAAATTAGGGAAACTGCCGGAGAAAGACGTCATTAGCCCCTTTCTTGGGAGAACAATGGCCACAAGCCGTCCTCTGAAGGCCTAAGCTAACCCGGGGCTAAAATACCGACTTCTTTTCTTTTCCTTTTTTTTTTTTTTTTTTTTTTTTTTTTTTGGAACCGAGAACTGCATTCATTCCATAGGCCTATGACGTCAGGAATCTGAATTCAGACAACGGCAAAAAACGCCAATTATACATACATACGTAACACGTATCCAAATACACACAAAAAACACACTAAAACGAACACTAAACGAACACACAACGAACACACACACAACACACACACACACACACACACACACACACACACACACACACACACACACACACACACACACACACACACACACACACACAGCGTCTAAATAGGTCGAGCATAATTGAATCTGGCCTCCATACCTAATTAACCGCGAAATACGACAAGCCACCTGATGGAATTCCCTCGGACGCGATCAGCAGACTGGAGGATTTGTTGTTTATTTTCTCTCTCTCTCTCTTCTTATTCTTCGTTCTCTTATTCTTATCTTTTCTTTCTCTTCTTTCTTTTCTCCCTCTCTCGCTCTTCCTGCTCTCCCTCATTCTCTTCCTTCTATCCTTCTCTCTCCTCCTGCTCTCCCTCTCTCATCTCTCTCTCCCCTCTCTCTCTTCTTCTCTCCCCTCTCTTCCTTCTCTCCCTCTCTTCCTTCTCTCCTTCTCTCCCTCTCTCTCTTCCTTCTCCCTCTCTCTATCTCCCTTCTCTCTATCTCTCCTTCTCTCTATCCCTCCTCCCTCCCCCCTCTCTCTATCCCTCCTCCCTCCTCCCTCCTCCCTCTCCGTCTCCTCCCCTTCTCCCTCATTCAAAACAGATCAAACAAATCACTCAGCAATAAAAAAAAAAAAAAAAAAAAAAAGAACATCGACCTGCGCACACCCGCCCACAATGAATCGAATTTGGCGGGAATCTCGGGTGTGAGGGCGGGTGTGTGTGCGTGTGTGTGTGTTGTGTGTGTGTGTGTGTGTGTGTGTGTGTGTGTGTGTGTGTGTGTGTGTGTGTGTGTGTGTGTGTGTGTGTGTGTGTGTGTGTGTCGGGTGTGTGTGTGTGTGTGCGTGTGTGTGTGTGTGTGTGTGTGTGTGTGTGTGTGTGTGTGTGTGTGTGTGTGTTGCCTCTCCTCGGCGTGTTTGTTTGTTGTATTGTTTCGCTTTGATTCGACCACCACTTCTCCAAACACTCGTTCACCTTTTTTTTTTTTTTTGTTTTCGTTTTTTTTTTTTTTTATAAGGTTTAAGGCCTTTTTAGGAGGGTTATGTAAGGAAAATTGATCCTTTCTTGAAATGCAACCACGTGAGTGACGGATAAGCCGTCAACGTTCTTATTCCAATTTCGAAATCCGAAGTGATATAAAACGGAAAATTAAAAAGGAAAATGCCTTACACAGGCACACACACACACACACACACACACACACACACACACACACACACACCACACACACACACACACACACACACACACACACACACACCACACACAACTTCCTTGCCCAATAACTGCCTGTCCCGCCGAGGCCGCTCGCTTACGCAAGAAAGCCCATCATATTTGTCATCATTTACGTCCACGGCGGGTAGGCCTATAATCAAGGCTCTCAAAGGCCTGCAAATTTGAAACTGCGCCGTCGGGGTCGCCGTCACGGCCTCCCGATTGGCGCGCAAAACCGCAGGCGGCGGCCCGGGCGAAGGGAAAACAAGTGAAAGCCGGTGCGCGTAATTTAAAAGCAAATTACACCGGGCAATTTAAATTTTTAAACAATATTCCCCCCGCTAACGGCCGCCTACGCGAGTCGAGGGGCTGCCAAAAGTGAACAATGGCCCCTTGGCTGGAATTCCTCCCCCGAAAGCACAAGACGAGAAAGAATCCGCGCTGGTGTGTGTCTACCTCAGCCCGCCCGCCCCGCCCGCCCGCGCTGCGCCTACACGCCCATTGTGTGTAACAAACCTCGGTCCCTTTCGCAGCCGTAATGGAGCCGCCCGCCCTTTCTCTCCCCCGGGCAGGTCAAAAAGCCCACGTCAAACGACATGCCAAAACGCGAGAAACAATATTCGGACATAAAAGAAAGTAACGGGAGAGAGAGAGAGAGGATGAGGGATGGG